TGGCCCTGTAATGTGCACCCGTGTGCCAGCCTGAGGGTTCCAGCTCCTCAGAGCGGCCACTGCCCCCCATTGGAGCCCCCGGGAGGGCTGGCCGGGCGGGCTCTCGGGAAACTGGGACTCTGACCCGCAGCCTCCCCGTCGAGCTTCTGCCGCAGCGTCCCCCTGGCTCCCACTCGAACCCTGGCCTTCAGTCCCACGGGGCTGCCCCCCATGCCCAGCAGGCCCAGACCTTTGGCACCAGGAAGAAGTGACCCAGCGACCTTTCGCCGAGGCTGGCGGTCAAGGCTGCATGCTGGGCCCGCCAGCCCTTTCCCTAGATAACCCGGAGGCTGGGAGCCCGGCCCCGGGGTTGGACCGGAGCCCAGCAGCGTGGGCGGCCGGCCGTGGCTGGACTGTGGCCGGTTCACAGACCTCCCTCCGTGGGGGAGGCGGACCCTCTCTCTGGGGTCCTGGGTGGGGGCTCTGGGAGCTTTTCCTCTGACCCTCACGTGCTCTGGGTCTCGGCCCTTCTCGGGAGGGAGCCGTGGGACCCGCAGGGGGTGGTTGGACCCCTGTGCTCAGAGCCGGGGGGTCCAACTATGCGCCGGGGGAGTGTGACTGCTGCCTGGCTCTCCATGACCGGAGCCCCCACGGAGGGGTGCTGGGGGTGATGCCCAGACATTGCGGAGTCGCTGGCCTGTGAACCCCCTGACCGGATGCCCGCCGATGGCCCCTTCTCCCCCAGGGCAGAGCGGCTTGGGGAAGTCCACCTTGATCAACACGCTCTTCAAATCCAAGATCAGCCGGAAGTCAGTGCAGCCGCCCAGCTCAGAGGAGCGCATCCCCAAGACCATCGAGATCAAGTCCATCACGCACGGTGAGCGGGGTGCCGGTCCTGCCTCCCTCCCCCCTGAAGCGGGGTGCAGGGTGCGGAGCCAGGCCTTGCCCTGGGGACCTGCGGCAGCTCCTCCGTCTCATTAACTCTGGGTCGGGGTGAGGGTCGGCTCTCGGGACCCCGTGGTCCAGTCAGGCCCAGCTCAGAGGTCCAGTTCCTACCAGAGACCCTGGGCGGGGCCTCTAGGGGAAGGCCAGGCCCCGCTGGGCATCCGCTGGTGCAGGGCTCCCTGTTGCTGGTGTAGCTGGGGTGTCATTGCAGGTCACCCTGGGGCGCCCCACGTGGGCCATGTTGGGCCGGGGCTGGCCAGGTGGGCGGCGAGAGGGGGGCACCAGGTGTGAGGTCCCGGCGCCCGCTGAGCTCGGCTCCATGGTCCTCACAGATATCGAGGAGAAGGGCGTCCGCATGAAGCTGACGGTCATCGACACGCCGGGCTTCGGGGACCACATCAACAACGAGAACTGGTGAGGGGGAGGGCAGGGCCTGCGGGGTGGGGCTCCTCCAGGCTGCTGCCAACCCCGGGGGTCCCAGGTCTGCCCTGAGGTCACGTCTAAGATGAGGCTGTGGTCCCTGCTCAGAGAGTCACGTGCGCCGGGGACCAGGCTGGGCCCTGGGAATGGGTGACCTGCCGTGGGGACCGGGGAGCTGCCCCCATGGGGGCTCTGGGAGCTTTTCCTCTGACCCTCACGTGCTCTGGGTCTCGGCCCTTCTCGGGAGGGAGCCGTGGGACCCGCAGGGGGTGGTTGGACCCCTGTGCTCAGAGGCGGGGGGTCCAACCATGAGCTGGGGGAGCATGACCCCTGCCTGGCTCTCCCTGACCAGAGCCCCCCACGGAGGGGTGCTGGGGTGATGCCCAGACATTGCGGAGTCGCTGGCCTGTGAACCCCCTGACCGGATGCCCGCCGATGGCCCCTTCTCCCCCAGGGCAGAGCGGCTTGGGGAAGTCCACCTTGATCAACACGCTCTTCAAATCCAAGATCAGCCGGAAGTCAGTGCAGCCGCCCAGCTCAGAGGAGCGCATCCCCAAGACCATCGAGATCAAGTCCATCACGCACGGTGAGCGGGGTGCCGGTCCTGCCTCCCTCCCCCCTGAAGCGGGGTGCAGGGTGCGGAGCCAGGCCTTGCCCTGGGGACCCGCAGCAGCTCCCCCGTCTCGTTAACTCTGGGTCGGGGTGAGGGTCAGCTCTCGGGACCCCGTGGTCCAGTCAGGCCCAGCTCAGAGGTCCAGTTCCTACCAGAGACCCTGGGCGGGGCCTCTAGGGGAAGGCCAGGCCCCGCTGGGCATCCGCTGGTGCAGGGCTCCCTGTTGCTGGTGTAGCTGGGGTGTCATTGCAGGTCACCCTGGGGCGCCCCACGTGGGCCATGTTGGGCCGGGGCTGGCCAGGTGGGCGGCGAGAGGGGGGCACCAGGTGTGAGGTCCCGGCGCCCGCTGAGCTCGGCTCCATGGTCCTCACAGATATCGAGGAGAAGGGCGTCCGCATGAAGCTGACGGTCATCGACACGCCGGGCTTCGGGGACCACATCAACAACGAGAACTGGTGAGGGGGAGGGCAGGGCCTGCGGGGTGGGGCTCCTCCAGGCTGCTGCCAACCCCGGGGGTCCCAGGTCTGCCCTGAGGTCAC